CACACACGCACACTCTCTCTCACGCACACTCTCACACACACACTCTCACATGCACACTCTCACACACACACACAGACTCTCACGCACACACACACACACTCACTCACACACACACACACTCTCAGGTTTGTTTTTGTGAATTGTGGGGACATTCCATAGGCGTAATGGTTTTATACTGTACAAACTGTATGTGCTATTGCTCTACACCTAAACCTACCCCTTACAGAAAATTTTCTGCATTTTTACAATCGCGAAAAAATTCATCTTAAGCCATTTTTGCTTGTATCTTGAGTCAATACGAAGACAATAATTTCTTGCAGTGAGGTTTTTCTTTTCTCTCGGTGCAGCAGCGCTGTTGTGTTCAGCGTCTGGTTTAGATTGTGTTTGGTGCGCTTCCATTATATTTTCTGTGCACTTTTTATATAGTGAGGCTAATGTTTCTTTCTCAGTTTGTCCAACTAACATGGACAAGTAAAAATTACTAACATAAAAATGACAATAAAATAATATATATTTTTTAGATTATTTCATTTGTAACAGTAAAAGACATTAATTTGAAGGTTCGAGATTTGCTGAGAGTCTAGTACATCATTACAATCATTGGTTTACTTTGAGGAGTTTTGTTAAAGCATTTCATCTGCATGTTTATTAATTATTTAGAAGTATAAAAACTGAAGGATTTCATCTGTTTGTGTTCAGATATCAGCCGGATCAATGACAGAAATGTTCTTATATCTCATTAAATAGCCAAGAGGGGAAAAACCACACCTAAAAAAAGACTTATGTTGAAGCAGTCCAGTAATAAAACATATTGTTAATAATTAATAATGTTGAATATTTAGGCTCTCACTTCAGCATTGATAAGAATGCCAAAGATTTCATGTGTTTAATAGAGCACGGCTAACTCTGACTTTATATAAAACTACTGTTTAAATGTAATAATAGTAATGAAAATAATGCTGCGCTTGCACTGGAAGAAACTGCGAGGCTAATGTCCTCGTGACTGTTTGATCAGCTGTTTCTGGAAGGGTTATTTCTATCAATCATTTCTATTCATTGTTTAACGGCCTCTTGCACTATTTCAGGAAGGATTTTAATGCCTCTGGCACTCAATATGGGCAATAAATATGAACAGAAGATACAGTGATGTTTTACACAAGTTTGTACTGTAATCAAATGTGGGTCTTCCTGTTATATTTATTACTTTTATAAAAATAAAAATCTTGTATGACAAAAAGACCAGGCTTATGTGGTGTTGTAGTGTTTTATGAATAGCAATGGTTTCCAGCGTCACCTGCTCCTTCTGAACACTTTAATAAGACCGTGTTGTGTGCGAGTAATAACAGTGAACTTGTCAGACTTAAACAGATCTGCAGACTGCTTGTTCATTCAATAATTGCGCCCAGTATTTTGGAAAAACGTTTACCAGAACATTTTGTGACAAGATTTTTCAAGCTTATAATGTAGCGAAAAAAACCCAGAGAGACTAAACTAGTCACAGCAGAGATGATTTAATCCCGTTTAACGCTGATCTGAGAGAAAAAACTGCAGCTTCTCCTGATGAGGAATTATTCCAGATGCCCCGTCGGGCTCGACTCTTCACACACACATCTGCAAACGCCTCAGACGTGTCAATATTGCTCATAAAAACGTTTGTTCACAGTCACGATAATCTCTGCATAGACACACACGCTCACGAAGCATCTACACCTCATTTACAAGTTCATCTGTTCTCTTTATCAGATGTAAAGTGTTGGAACAATCAGATCAGATCAAACTGTGCCGTTCATCTGTGATCTGCTGTTGGGCGACATCTAGTGGTCAGCACATCTGAATCCTCTCAACCAGACGATATCTGCATGATAAATATATCAGAGACATGTAGAAACACTCTTCTGCATCTGTACTGTTCAGCTGCCATAATGAGTACAGAGAAGTTTTCTCACAAGCGTCTGTCAGTCGGTCTTCTTCAGCAGGGCTTCTGCGGGTCTGTAATGGGAGATTATTTGTCCCAGTATGAGAGAGTTTATGAGCAGAAACAGCAGCCCGCTGCAAACGCCTCAGACGTGTCAATATTGCTCATAAAAACGTTTGTTCACAGTCACGATAATCTCTGCATAGACACACACGCTCACGAAGCATCTACACCTCATTTACAAGTTCATCTGTTCTCTTTATCAGATGTAAAGTGTTGAACAATCAGATCAGATCAAACTGTGCCGTTCATCTGTGATCTGCTGTTGGGCGACATCTAGTGGTCAGCATATCTGAATCCTCTCAACCAGACGATATCTGCATGATAAATATATCAGAGACATGTAGAAACACTCTTCTGCATCTGTACTGTTCAGCTGCCATAATGAGTACAGAGAAGTTTTCTCACAAGCGTCTGTCAGTCGGTCTTCTTCAGCAGGGCTTCTGCGGGTCTGTAATGGGAGATTATTTGTCCCAGTATGAGAGAGTTTATGAGCAGAAACAGCAGCCCGGCGATCCAGATGAGAGCGAAAGTGTTCCAGCCCTCGAACTCCAGATAATACGCCGGCAACAGCCACAGCGCCTGCGAACACGACAGACAGCTGCCCAAACCACAGACTCACGCTGTTAGAAACACAAGACGAGGAATATTCATCTCACCTGTCCCACAAACCACAGCAGCAGCAGCCCGAGGCCTCGTCTCAAACCCAGCGTCAGTCGAGGCAACACCAGCGGCAGCAGACACAGATACCACAGAAAATACTGCAGAGAGAAGCACAGCAGCACACGGTCAGCAGAGGCTTCAGGAGCCGTCAGAAACAGCTGAGAGACGCGTGCGTGCGCACCTGTGAAGTGCAGACTTTGTTGAAGGTGACGAAGACGGCGGTGTGGATGAAGCAGCAGAAGGGCAGGTCGCGGCGGAAGGCCAGCGAGGACAGCAGCAGCAGCAGCATCTGCGGCAGAAAGCAGACGAGCGCCAGAGCGCCGCTCCAGTGATGCTCCGCCGTCACATACAGCATGTAGAAGTACGGAGAGAAGTTGTGACGGATGTCTCTGCGCGTCAGGTGATACAGATAAGACTCCTGCAGGAAATCCCAGCCGTACCTTCAACACACAAGAAACAACAGACACCTGCTCGTTCTGGACTACTGTTCTCCGCGTGTCTCAGTTAAAGTGCAGTGATGCAAACCCTAACTCAGATGCACGTCTGAGACACAAGATCTGCATCACGGCATGCTTTTAAACACGGATGAAGAAGGAACTTGATGAGAATTCACGATCGTGACAGTAAACTAATTTCCTACAGAACTAGTTTGGGCAGAAGCACGAGTCTAAAGGACTTACATGCAGTAGAAGATGAGGTTCAGAGCGAAGAACACGGATCCAGAAACAGCTGCAAACTGCAGCAGATCCCTGCTGACGCACCGGATCAGGTTCTGGATCAGTCCTCGGCCGCGGGCCGGTGCGCCGGTCAGGGACAGAGCGATGGGCAGAGCGTAAGTGACCGGGTAGATCTTCATGTGGACGGCCAGACCGAACAGCAGCGCTGCAGACAGCCGTCTCCTGGACTCCATACACAGCAGCGAGGACAGAACCAGCGCCGCCAGCAGAGACTCGGCGCTCCCGCGGGTGGACACAGCTACGGTCAGCGGGTTAAACAGCCACAGACCGCAGAGAACCCTCGCCGAGCTCCGGGTCGAGCCGCGCAGAACCAGCAGCCTGAAGAGCAGCAGAGCGGACAGAAGATCACAGCCCACGAACAGCAGCTTCCCGCAGTGAACCCAGCTCAGCAGAACCCCCGGAACCAGAACCAGTGCCAGCAGAGGAGTGTAGCGGTACGTGGATCTGACATACGGACTCTGACCCTGCAGAACACAACACACACTCAGCTAAGCATCTCATACGAGTGTGTGTGTATGTGTGTGTGTGAGAGAGAGAGAGAGTGTGTGTGTGTGTGTGTGTGTGTGTGTGTGTGAGAGAGAGAGTGTGTGTCTAGAAGAGTGTCTCATACACACAGTGATCAGATTCTTCTTCTGATCCAAAGTCGTATTATTGGCCTGTTATTAGGCAGGAATCTATGGAAACCCACTTCTAACACATAAAAAAAAAACTTTGGTAAACCATATATATTAGATTAATATATCAAAATGATAAGAAACAAAAATGAAGTATGAGATAAAAAGCCATACATATGACAAAAGAAATAACTCAAAATGTCTTTATCTCATTACGACTGTCAAAATGTAGACATTTTTTTCTTAATTGTGAGGTTTTATGTCATAATGAAGCCATAATTATTGTCATAACTTTGAAAAAATCCCATAATTCCAATGTTTTTAACCTCATAATTCTGATTTTCTAAAACATGATCTAGATTGTTGACGTGTGAGCAGCGTGTTTCTACAGAGGACAGCAGAGCTGAGCAGGGTTATGAACAGAAGCTGAGAGCTGATCACAGCAGGTGTGTTATTAGCTCTGTCTGTCACCTGTGTGATGAACCTGGAGGCGTCGGTGAACACGTGATAATCCACATCCGTGTACTTGAGCTGCAGATTCTGATCCTGATACACACCGAAGCAGAGCAGCGCCAGACGGAGGAGAAGCGCGACGCTGAGCAGCACACACAGCCGAGCATCCATCTCACACACACACACACACACACAGAACACTGGAAACCCGTACTTCCGGGTCCCGAGCCCACGTGACTGCCGAGCACAAGAATCTGACCAATCACGTATCAGCGCATTACTGCCATCTGCTGGTGACTCGGATCAGAAACACTTCCCAGAAGCCCACGCAGCAGCTCCAGCGTCACAGCTCTTCTTCTTCTTCTTCTTCTTCCGTATTTTGTCGTGTTACATCCTGTGTGCATATCGCCACCTACTTTTGCTGTTATGCAGTCATGGTTTATTTATTATCAATGTATTCCTTGTTTTTGCTTTTCCTGTTCTTACACGCGCATATACACAAATATTCCTACTTGAATAATTATTGGATGCTCCGTCCCAGTCCTTCTCCGCAGGCTCCAGCTGGCGCTGTGTTCAGCTCCTGCAGACTCGACCCGGGGTCTCCTAAAGATCCAGAACAGAATAGAGCATCCGCATTCTATATCTAAATCCTTTCACTTAACCCAGTAGCATATATGTATTTGATTAATATCCTGTATGCTTCTCTATCTCTGTATATATTACATGCTGCACTGTTTCTTTCCCCCAGTCTCATGTATCCAGTTATGCACAGTGAAGCGTTCAATCCCGAGTGTCCAAGTCTCATCAGTTATAATAACCTTCTTACACTTCTTTTAGTATTAACCCTTTTTTAATATTATATAAATGCCTTCCCTTATTATCTGTATTCCATATGTCCTGCCATTCTTTAATAATATTTAATACTTAATGATAGTTTTAATTTCACATTTACTTAAAGGAACTTTAAAATCTATTACTTCTCTTGTTAAAGCACTTTTTGCTAACTCATCAGCAGATTCATTACCAGCAGAATCCAACTACCACTTCTTTCCTTTCTCTACGCCATAATAATGTCAATATTTCACACCTCGAATCTTCTCTAGAAGACTGCCGAGTAATCGCTGATGTTAAAACAGAAGCCGGGTCCGAGCATACACTACTTCTTCTGCCCGTGTTAGTCCTATTATGATAGCAACCATTCAACGGTATATATTGACAATTTAGATGTTCATCTTTTAGTTATGGATATTTTAAAATCTGGAATATATATTCCTACCCTATATATAAGCCATGTTTTGGGCTCTTTAGATCCATCAGTATAAATGTGCATACTTGCATAAAATCTTTCCTGTATATACTTATTTACATTATATTTAATACCACCCATTTCCTCCCATTCTCTTTTCTTCTCCAAGATCTCTGGATCAGTTTTAACATCAGGAATGATCCGTGTTGGCACCTCTCGCCATACATTCCATATCTGTTATCTGATATTTCTCTGCTAACTGATTTATATTCCATCCACATCCTCTCCCTTTGTTATTTGAGTATTCCCAGCAATTATTTAAAATATCTTTAGCTATACGTTTACCAGAATAACTCTTTAAAGACAACCAATAAACCAAAGACAATTTAACTCTCCTCAAGCTCAATGGCTTTTCATTAGCCTCTACTAATAACGCATCGACTGGTGTTTTTTTAGTTGCTCTTAAGCATATTCTAAGAGCTCTATACTGTATCCTATCTAGACTCCTTAATAATGTTTCTGATGCTGAACCATAAATCATGCATCCGTAATCTATTATAGATCTTATTAATACACCTAACGTAACTCTGCACGTCCTCTTATACTTCCATACCTGCCACATACAGTACATCTTGCACACTCATACCTTTATATTTCCTATCTACTTCCTTATTTTATATTCTATATATTAAACCTGTACTTCCTAAGTATTGAATCAATGCAGAGACAATATTATAACCTATATCCGAATCTAATGTGTTTTAATGTTAGCTCTTTTCCCTTTACTCTCCATACTTCTTCTCGTAACCACTTTCTCTCTTCATCATGCTTCCCATAACTATATCTGCTCTGTTTCTGACTGCCGATTATCGATACTAACTAATGCTGAACATGAATCTGAGCATATGACTGCATCTTGAACTTTCATTTCTTGACAATATGCGGAGAGGAGAGAAATAAGCGCAGTCAGGACAGTTCTGAACACCTCAGGCGACTGAGGAGACGCAAACAAGCCTAACATCGCATACATGTGTCAGGTTCGACCGAACCGATTTTTGAACCGATTTAAATGATTCATCGAAAAGAATCGGCTCACATGCATAACGCATTTGCAAACGGCACATCTGTCAAAAGCGCTTCATTTATTTATTTATTTTTAAATGCTTTATTAATCCAATGGCACAAGAACAAGAGGTATTACATATGAAATAATATTATTTATTTTTAGTTTCAAGCGTACGTGTTTCCGGCCGAGCGTCAGGCGGTGGCTGGAGGAGTAACAGCGAGCAAAACATACAGTAAAGATGAACATATTCACTTAGTATTATAGAAAATATGAAGTGCAGCTGGATTTGAACAAGATAATTAAATATGGTGTAAATTTGATGTTGTTTAGTTATCAGTTTAGTTTTAGTTACCACTGTTGGCACACAGCTCTTCATTCTGACCAGAAGAATAACCCCCACAAATAACTCAGAATATACACGAAACACTTTAAAACAGACAGACGTGTAGATGTGTGTGGAAGATGTTTTCTCTGTTTTAGAGGGAGGAACGTTGCTAAATTATGCCATATTTATTTCATCAAATACTTTACTATAGGGTTAGGAGTTGATCATTGTGTGCTGAAGACGGCTGTGACTGCAGGGAGCTGTAGTTCCCCGTCTCTGTTTTAGCTGGGAAAGGGCCTAGAGATCATGAGTTTATTGTTCTGATGAATCTGTCCAGGTGTTTAATTTGTACGGCGTGTAGAGATGACTGCGTGTCCATCTGCTGCAGGTCTATACGGTTCTGGTGAGGAAGACTCTGGGTGAGAGCCGGGTCGTGTTCAGACGCTATACTGACTTGTGTGTTGGTGCGGTTCCTCCGTTCAGGTCACTGCTCTGGAACACTGAGCGTCTCTCCTCTGGGTTTATTCTGGTTCTCTGTGCAGCAGAGATGAGGACGCACCGCTCGCTGGACTCGTGTTTAATGTTAGGAAGCAGAATCTCTCCGACAGTCAGCGGCACACTGAGACTGAGACCGGCCGCCGCTGGAAGAGCATCTCTCTGTTCTCAGGGTCACGTCTGTGTTTTAATTCTAGTGTGAGGTGTAAGCGAGTGAGACACACACGGGACTGGTGTTCGTGTCATCTGTTCAGACCCTGCACCGATCGCTGCACTCCTGCATTCATGCGCTGATGGACTGAGTGGATTTAAAACACTGCTAGCGTGAGTTTTTAGTTCAGTTTTCTGCTTCACTGAAAGCCATATTTAGATCACAGCCGAGGCCTGTCGCTCCTGCCTGCGGTCGGTCTGTAGCGGGACACATCGTGCACTTTACTCTCCTGAGGGATGATGGGATAGATGCTGAGAGAGTGTGTGTGTGTGTGTGTGTGTGTGTGTGTGTGTGTGTGAGTGTGTGTGTGTGTGTGTGTGTGTGTGTGTGTGAGGGGGTGTGTGTGTGTGTGTGTGTGTGTGTGTGTGTGTGTGTGTGTGTGAGAGGATGTGAGTGTGTGTGTGTGTCAGTCACAGTCAGTAGGAGGCGTGTTCTCAGTTCAGTCCAGTTCAGTCGCTGTGACGCGCCGCAGACCCGCAGCAGCGTCTGGTGAGTTAAACTGTTTGTCTGATTAGTTAAACTTCATTAACCAGGTTAAGAAAGTTAGTTGCTGTCACTGCGGAGTTTCGCGTCGCTCTGCAGGTTAAAATGTGAAAATGGCGGCGCGGCTGTAGGCCTGATCGAGATTAAACCCGATTACTGACAAACACACACCCTAATGTGTGTGACAGGACAGTGTGAGGGTCACAGCAGTGTGTGTGTGTTTGTTTGCAATCACTGTTTGTTTGTCGTTTGATCCGTCAGAGCGGCGCTAGCCGTGACGCTAATGTGTTAGCCTCTTAGCATGAGTGTGCGGATAAACGGCGGAATATTTGCCGTTTAGTCACTGAATTGCACAACAGAATCGGATCCATCGGGCCCGGATTCGCAGTGAAGAACAATTAATGAGTCTAAAACTCAGTTCCGATTATTTGTGCGTCTGTGAGCTGAGTAACGGGCGGCGGAGCCGGTAACAGGCCGCAGAGACACGGATACACACACACACACACACACTCTCTCTCTCTCTCTCTCACACACACTCTCTCTCTCTCTCTCTCACACACACTCTCTCTCTCTCTCTCTCACACACACTCTCTCTCTCTCTCTCTCACACACACTCTCTCTCTCTCTCTCTCACACACACTCTCTCTCTCTCTCTCTCACACACACTCTCTCTCTCTCTCTCTCACACACACTCTCTCTCTCTCTCTCTCACACACACTCTCTCTCTCTCTCTCTCACACACACTCTCTCTCTCTCTCTCTCACACACACTCTCTCTCTCTCTCTCTCACACACACTCTCTCTCTCTCTCTCTCACACACACTCTCTCTCTCTCTCTCTCACACACACTCTCTCTCTCTCTCTCTCACACACACTCTCTCTCTCTCTCTCTCACACACACTCTCTCTCTCTCTCTCTCACACACACTCTCTCTCTCTCTCTCTCACACACACTCTCTCTCTCTCTCTCTCACACACACTCTCTCTCTCTCTCTCTCACACACACTCTCTCTCTCTCTCTCTCACACACACTCTCTCTCTCTCTCTCTCACACACACTCTCTCTCTCTCTCTCTCACACACACTCTCTCTCTCTCTCTCTCACACACACTCACACTCTCTCTCTCACACTCACACACACACACTCACTCACTCACACATACACTCACTCACACACACACACTCACTCACACATACACTCACACACACACACACTCTCTCTCACACACACACTCACACACA